TAGTGAAGGCCATTTGGCATTTGCCAACGCGTCATATCTGGTGCCGACTGCCGAGATATCCGACTAACTAATAAAGGATGGTTATACTGCGATGCAGTTCGTTCTGTACTGTTATGACTGTGAGATATGAACACCGAGAATATATATGAATATATATAGTATACGTTTTTGACTGAGTGTCTTCGGAGCATTGTCCAAGTATGGTGAAATCACCAAGTGAGCGAAAGTGAGGTCAGGCGAGGGGTACTAGGCTAGAAAGGCTAATCACCTGTGAACCTTGAGAGACAGGTGGCTTGGATGTGTGCTATGCATGCCGAACCACCATCTACCTCGATGCGCAATCCTACGAGAAGTTGGAAAAGGGTTCAGGGTGGTCAGACCAAGACTTGGCAGAAGTCCATGAAGTCTGATAGGGTTCGTCTCAGTCGTGTAAGGAGGTGCAGACTACTTGACTGAGGTTCCAAGACAACGGGAATCAGTAGTTGAAGAATCTCGGTCATTTTGCTGAGAATCGGTCATAGTGGTGCAGATGTATTCACTGTTTGACGTCCTCTAAAGCTTGAATATTCGCACTAACCTTCATTTTTAAATTCCTTCTCTTCTATACACCTGTCTACTCTGGTATGTTTTTTACCGTCGACTTATTCTTTGTACGCTACTATGAACTTTGGCAACTTCGACCGCTGCACCTGTGTGCGAGACCCTACTTTGATTTCCCCTGTCTTTCTCTTATATCCAAAACTCTACGCCTGGCTTCTACAGTACAGACGTGGTGGCATCATGAAACACGACCTATACCACGAAGGTGACGGTGGTCGAACACCTGAAGTCTTCCCATTTCCTTTACTGTTAATGGTTATGTTTCACAGTCATATTGTACATCTGACCCATAGAGGTGGCTAATCGGACATAATTGTGATGCTACGAACAGCACCAGTTGGCCAGACCTAAGCGAGGCTTTCCCCCCCCCCCCCCTCTTTAAACGAGCAATAAACAAGCACCAATGCTGGTCAACATTTTCCATATGAACAGTGAGAAACCTATTCCAAACATTTTCATATCGCCACTAGAGGTATCTAGAAGACTTCACACCTTCATTTAACCAGATTATACTGTGTTGTCTCCTAACGAGTCCAGAGTGACAAGACCAATACCCTAAAAGTCAGTCGATGAGACTAAGACCTTCATAATCACATCAATGATAAAGTTTAATATGAATGAAGAGTGGACAGTCTCGAAAAACATCATTCGACGTACACAACTCGTATGAAACAGAACTACTGGCACTGATAAGCCAAAATATGGTCGAATAAAAACATCTCAGAACACCGATTTACCAACACCACCCCACTTTTGGTGTAATACGATGGCATGAGAACCGCATTACCCACAGATATGCAACCAGTATTATTGTCCAGGAACACACCTAAAGCTCAACAAACACCATAACGGGAAAGCTCGGAAAAAAGGATGCCAGACAGATTCCTCACTTCGCACTGGAGGATGTTAGCATCTGTGAGATTGAGAGGTGCATATCAATGGAGCTTCAACGGATTTGACAGCACTACTACTGCTAATATCAACCAATCACTCACATGACTTGTAACTGATCGTGCTAACAAAGTGTTGAGGTTTCGTGGAAAAATGAACACTGTTGGAGGTTGAGGCTCTAGAGTCCAATGACACAACAGCATTCTTCGATATTAGAAATACCTCGTAGCTCCATGGTGAAGCGGGACATTGATGTGTCGCAGAATTACGAGTTGCAAATAGACAACCCTCGTCCATGTTGGCGAATTGCTCAGAATCAGTAGACAGTGGGTCATTCCGTGGGGGGCTATTGACATGGTGTAGGAGAAATAGTGAACCTGACGTCACTTGTGTTAAGCACCTGATATACTGCAGTAACGTCTTAGAAAAGAATATTTTCCCTTTACTTTATTCCTTGTCCGGGTAGCAAAAATAGAGTAATGGTTAGTGAAAATAGTCAATCCAGTTTCCCTAAAAAGGCTAGTAGTGTACAGAAAACATAGAATACTGTCACCCAGTCCCGCTGTTCTGAGGCCAGAGGTTCAACGTCTTTTTAAGTTATGTGGAGATAGAGTCAAAACTACTATTGAATGAAGGGGATTCTGCAGAGTTGGGACTCTACTAGGGATGATTTCGGCCTTATCTGAGTCGCATGTCACTGATACTGAGGAATCTTCTACATGCATTGCAAGGAAAGCACAACCCATTCAGTTTTCTCCGCTTCATGCGGCAAGTCAGACTCTTCAGGATTTATACATCATACTCATGTTCAGTTACTCAATATTAAGCAAGAGACGTTACTGAGTTCTACGTAAACCCGTACCAGTGGCTTCATAACCCATACTGACTGCACATTCTTTGTTATGCAGCACACTTAAGACACCAATCATTCATGTAGGTCTTCTTCCTGGCCTTCAGGGCACAGGATTGGGAGACTCGAACAGTAATTATTCGCAGGAATGTTAGCTACTGTTATTTTAACGCAGACTTTCATAGTCCAATTTCGCCAAAAGTACATGGTAGTCGAATTACCAAACGTTTCGTCCTACTGAGACACATGGATCGTCTTTGACAACCATCCGAGAGGAGAGGATTATTGCATGGTTACTCATAATGAATAGTGGTATGCTTCAGACTACCAACATCATCATGATGCGATTATACAGTACAAGACCTGACTTAAAACGACAACTAATCGGCCTTCGCACACTTGGAATGAAGGTAAATGAGATTATCACTTGGATAATCTTTGAGATTCCAAGTGGATTTATGTGCATGAAAACCTACCACGTAAGTCATATGCAACCTTGTAGTCCATCTGACAAGAACTCATTCGCCTCAAAATATCACAATCGCTAGGCTATGACAACAAGCAGCTGTTGCCCTATGTATATCAGAAGGAAAGAGGCCGTCTCATATACCGTTCGAGGGTGATATACAAACCTTGAGAGCAAGTCTCCCCTAACCTGGACAACAACGCTCCGCTTCAATGTATAGTGCTTACATCTGCACTCGCAGACTTCCATACCTTGTTCACCCTCTATTTCCCAGAGCCAACCAACCTGTTGTAACCAGCAGTTGGCTCGTGAACGTCGATTGCAATGCCACTCAATAAACGATACGAGCGTTGGTATGACAGACAAAAAGCCCTCGCCTCGCATGCATCAACAAATAATCCCGAGGTCTCCTACGTATGGACAGGTGCTCAGTTCTTAATTTCTTATGTGACTAGCATTAGAGAGGATATTGTGCACACCAGTTCTAGGCTTCGTCAGTTCATGAGCATCTTATGGTAACAAACGTCTAAACTTGGATATAACTTCAGTTATACACAACAAGTGAGTCAATATTCACTATCTGCTTTCGCGTCTCAAGGATAGTGATTCCCGATATCTTCAACTGATACGCCTTTCATATTGCTCACACCCTAGTCGATACAAATAAGTTCCGATCACTGCTTTCGAAAATTAGAGAGAGACATCACCTTCATCCACTTTTCGCTTCTCTGCCGGTCAGTAAGATAACATTCCAGTTGCGAACAGCTTTGCAGGCGATTGCATACTATCCAGTTCGTTAAGTTTGTCAACGATCTTACAGATAGGGTTTGGTACCCATCGACCTACTCACTGCCATGATGTAGCATTTTCACCCATCGATGGTTGGTTCCCCGTAGAATAAAGCTGACATCTCTCATTCAACTATAGATCGGTGTGTGACGGCTACAAAAATCATCAGAACAAAGCTTTCTACTCGAAGCACACATTTAGCGGTGGGTATTTCGAGAGGAAGTATTCTGACATCACTGCGGAAATGGTGACCTGGGAACACGGGTTAGACAACCAATAAGCATTGAGAGTGGGTTGACATGTCTGCGTAACACAGAAGATAGGGTGGTTTAAGAAGTTTGCTACAAAAACTTCACAGACGAGTTAGTAGTACACTTTCAAACTTTACGCCTATCAGCTTGAGTGATGGTGAACATCTTGGGCGATTTTGCACTAAATTACCACTCTACGCATACAGAAAACTGAGTGAAAACGACCGAGGCCAGGTAAAGCGGACTAATATCTTCCTACAGCTCTACCATCAAGCACCGTTTGACGCACGAAAACTCCCCAGCGAGTATAAGAACGAGTAATGTAATTCTGTACAACTATTGAGTAACGGGAAGCGAGAGCTGCCGTCGGAGCATATTGCCAAGGCACGAACTAACGAACAGTATAAGAAGGCATCATGAGTGCTGACTTCTACCAGACGTCCTGTACCATCAGTTGTGCAGGAGGATATCATCACCAACATAGGACCAGGCATTACTGCGTAACGGTCCGACTTACCACACCTCAAGTCAGTTCATCAAGTAGAAAGGTAGGGAGGTGAAAGATGAAGATAAGAAAATCCACTGAGAAGAAATATAGAGTATGGGAAGAAAGAAAGGAGTGACAAAATGGTGACATTCGGTATAGCGTTGTTAAGATGAGGATAATGTGTGCATACATCTGCGCCACTCTTATCAGTTCTGAGCCATATCCCCTAGTCTACAACCCGTTTTCTCTTGTCCCGCGGACCCCAACCTAGTCTGCATCGTCCTATATAGCTTAAACCAACAGTCAGACTTCATACATTGGTGGCATGTTTTAGTCTGGCCACCTCGAGCCTTTTTCAGCCTGGACCCACCTCAGCCAGCATTGTGTGACGAGGCAATCGGTGACTAGGCATACGTAGTACGTGTCCCGACCATCTCAGTCGATGAAGGTTCACAACCTCGTCATATGACTTACCTCTTCAGGAGGACATCTATCACTAACCTTTCTCCTTTGCTATACTGGACAAAAATACTAAATTACCAGTACCTCGAACGTATGCACTACGGTGTTTTCAGTCCACCAACGTCTCGGCACACCGACCTAGTGGCACATCTATCATCATATAAAATTACCCACAAATATACTATAGTCGACATCACAACTCACCACTAGCCGACTCATCCGAGTCGTTCACCGGGTCATCTTCATCTGCAATCCACTCCACGTCTTCGTCCAGTAACTCGACGTCTTCCCCTGGTTCATCCGCCTACAGTTAGAACGACGAGACATGATCGCTATACCAACAGACATTTAAGAAGTCACAGTCAAAGAGATAGTTTATTGGTTTTTAAAGGGTCAGATACAATGATGTGGTCTAGTACTTGTACCCAATATGCAATGCACAAAGAAGACACCAGTGTGGAAAAGATTTATTTAGTCTACCACAGCTGTACAAAAGTTTCGAACAGTGGTTTGATCACTTGCTCCTTTCCCTCATTTTCCTCCTCTTGCGTTTCAACCTCCTCATCCTCTTTTTTCTCCACTTAGCACGCATCTGAAGGAAAGGCGATTAGAAACTAACGCAACCTACCACGCCACAATCACAATGTCATTCAGGATGCCTCCTTGAACTCGGACAAGTTCAAACAAACAGTCTTCAAGTTTCAATACTCTTCCGTTTCAGTCCTCACTAATAAGAAAAGTAGGTGTCATATCTTTTCAGTAGCTGCTTGGTGTAATCTGAAATATGTATATTGTTGAGGTTCTAATGTCAGACATCTGTTTAACAAGCTTATGTAAACCAGTCGATTTCTTCATGCTTGCTTCTTGGTTTTGTGGAACGGTCCGAGGTCCTGGATGGATTCCGACAAATTTGACCCAGCTACTCGTCTGCTACAGCTCTGGCATATCCGGCAGGTGGTTGGGTGTTTGTTAGTTTGCTTGGGACTGTTGTGCAGTCGGGTTCTTATGATGTTGAGTTGCCAGACAGTTGTTCTGACTGGTCGTTAGAGTGATAGGGATAGCGAAGAGATGGCCTAGGAAGACAAATATGTGTGAGTGAAAGACAAATAAATGTGACATGGTGGTCTGATCTACATACTCCCAAGTAAGACGAAGGGGTGCTAAGATATGCAGAACTCAGGTGAGTGAGGTTAATTCATAACGAGTAGGAGGGATGAAAAGGACTTAAGCGGTTAGAGAAGGAACAGAATTGGTAGAGACGTAACGGTGCTGGGATGGTGCGACGAAAGTTGATTTCTTCGATCTAGTTCGCATTCCAACTGGATGAGCGTAAACTGTGGGTCACTGCGTAACTGTCTAGTCTTTCTGTTGAAACTACGATAGTTGGGGCGGAGACAGCTCTGTAGGCAATGTATTCTAGTGCACAGACTCGGAAGGGAAGAGATGTGAAGGCGCACGAGTTTTGGACTTTTCTAGGCAATTCTCACAGGGTTTCTATGGGGGTCACTGTGGTGGCCACTAGGCAGTATTCTTCTGTTAGGATGACTTGGGTGAGTGAGTATTTTGTAAGCCGCTATCGAATCGCCCAGTAACCTTCGGTAACTAAGAGAGTGTAGGCCCAAGTCATCTGGTCCATTCTCGTGTGGTTTTTAGGTGCACCGTTACAACATTGTTTGTGGCTCTTCTCTGAACTTTCTCCAGGAGGTTCATGCTCCTTTTCGGGCGCGGCGGAGCGAAGACTATCTGGATGGAAACCTGTGCGAGTGGAGGTCCTCAAGGAAAAATCCCAGATTCACCACTTTTCTTGTTATATGTCAACAAATTACCAAAAATACTCATCTCTTCGGTACTGCTGCTCGTCGACCATGTTAAGATCTGGAGAGCCATACGCGGTGGTGCGGATAGGTATTCACTTCAAGCCGATTTAGATAAAATGGCAGGCTGGTGCTGTGTTTTGACTTTGTTCTTCTGGTGTATTCAAAAACATTGACCACTGATTTTGTTTGACTTCAACCAATTTGCTTGTACAACCATATTTAACCTGTTGTCTAGATTAGTGTTACGATTGTATTCTTTTTGGATAGAAACTGCGGTAGCCTTCAAAATTGAAGAACAATTTTCGCAGGGTTCATTTACTGTTTGAACATACATTCTTCTCTTGGCAACCAATTGTTTTGGATTTAGTTGGTTTCGCCTTGGGTTTTGTGAACTCTGGGAATTCGTATCTTCGTTACATGCTGCTCAGCGGATTTGACGTGACAGTTGGTCCAGACTCTAGTGCCTGGAAATCAATCCTAAGAAGAGTGCAATAACACGCTGGTCATGGCAATTGTTTCCAGTACCCAGTTGATGGTACGCCACTACTCCCAATCTTTGAATTGAAAAACTCGGGTGTTATCAATAGCCATGATCTGAAAAACTCAGGGAGCTGTAATGCAGCTGCAGCAAAGGGCCTCCGCGTGTTACGGTCCATCCGCAGAGCTTTCAAGAGTTTTCATCAGGATACGTTCTGAACACTCCATTCTACTTACTTCCAACTTCACCTGGAATACTTAATTCAGGAACGATTGGACCAGCGAATCCCATTCCAGCCGTCTTACCACCGGAAACGGAAAGATATCATACTGGCATTCCGCATCCCTGATAAGGACTTCGTTCTTGATATGCTTCATCTTTTCCCCTACGCTAGGTTTGACTAACTCTGAGGCCATTACAAAAAAATCTAATGACTGCGATTTAATCAGCTTGGGATGATTTCGCGTTTACCTCATCGTGCTGTCAACGATTGAGCCTCTTTGCCTTAATAAGTAGTATCAGTTGCCTCGGCCAACGCGTTCAGGGAGAAAGCGGAGTCTCACAGAGATATGTTCTGCAAGGATTAACACAGGCCCAATGGCCTACTGCCCCAATAACGGAAAAACTATATCATGAGAAAAGTAGGGGTGCTAGGATATTTCCTTGGAGAGCTCCACTCGTCACAAGCTCTCACCCGAACGGTATCCAGTTGAACTTTACAGTTTGCCATCTACCATCCACCCTTGCATCACAGCACTAAACATGAAAGAGGAGAGTTTTCTTAGTAATTGTACACGAGACACTTTGTCGAATGTCCTACAGAAGTCCATAAACGTGGCGTCTATCCGCAGCTCGAAGTCTCTCACCATGAGGAGGCTTGTTAATCGCGGCTACCAGTGCGAAAACAGTGTCGTAGTGGCGCCAAAGGATAACTTGATGGGACATGGTTAAGTGCCTTGTCACGAATCATTCTTTCTAAAGCTTTGATAACTATGCCTGACAGACTGATAGGGTGACAGCAAGCCGTCAGTTGGTGACCATCAGCTTTAAAACTGGGCTGGTTAGGATTTGTTTCCAGTCTCTAGGGCGTTTGGTCCCAAATAGGGACATATTGGAAGGATCAACAACAATGTCTGCCGGGGTGTAACTTACCAGAATCCGGGTATTTACCAGGTTTAAAACTGATGAGCAACTGGAAAACAGTTTCCTTTGCTATGAACATGCGCGCACTTTGGAAAATGACAGTGGGGTTTCAGAAATTTCGTTTCGTTTATTTGCTGCATTGAGGCCCAAGTCCCCCGAACGAACACTCATATATCCTTGGTTCGGCTTACTGGCAGTCTCCAAGGGTGTCTTTGTGGTTTGTCATAGGAATGTCAGTTGCTCGGCTCAGGCGATGGATTGTGAACTTCGCTCACAATGGATTCACTGCTCCTGAGATCCTGTAGCGTCACACACTTCCCCAAAATCAATAGCCTAGGGTTTAATGACTTTAGACATTGATGCTGACCTTGATAGTTTAACTGGACTCGCTAAGCTGAAGGCACACGGTCAAGCGTCCCCGCCATTTGGCACGCTGTCGTGTTACCTTGCATTGCTCGTATTCCACTCTCTAGCCAGTCAGTTGGAACGCATCGGTATTTCGGCACAACTATCCAAATATACTATTCCACCCGACTACGCTATCGTGTGCTCCCTTGGTCTCGTATTCGTGGGTATATAACAAGTTCGAATAATTAGTGATTGGTCTTTGCGTCTGTCAAGTTCGCACCAGGACAAATCCTAACCAGCAGTCCAGTTATTGTGAAGCACTGCCAAATAGCCGTCTGGTAGAGACTGATATTCTTGTCCATGTTGTAGGGCCAAAAGTAAATACCAAATAGGCCAGCAGTCAGTCAGACTGAATTCCGATCACATTACAGATTGAATCTTTACGCAAACTGGCTTCCGTCAGAAGCTGCATGGTCCGAAAAAGACCCTTAAAATTAGCAGTGAGGAAAGTTGTAGTGTTATAAGTGGTCCTCTTGCAATAATCAGCATCAATATTCTATGCGTAAATAGAGGTGGAAGTGAGATCATCATGGCCAGGGACTGCCTCCATGTTAGCGAACCACTGAGGCAGACCTCCTCAGTGATGAATTTGGGTCCCGCATTTGACAACGGCAGAAAGAAAGGTTTGAAGAAATTTGAGCAGTTTGGAGCAGTTAAAAGTGAAACCTCAGGAAACGATCCCTAGCTTGGTACAGTGGACGTTCGTATTCAGCCCAGCCGAAGGCCGAATCCTAAATTGACCATTTCTCCTACCGCCCAAGTGGAAAAAGATTAGAAAAATACCGATTTCAGTCTTACTACCAGTGAGGCATGGACGAAGCCACATGCATTTCGCCACCAGCCTTGGTGAATCCCTAAAATAACTCCCTAGTTGGTAACTTAGGCCCTGCGAGTCGCCCCCGGAAGACTACTCAGAAGCTTGGGTCTGCATTCACAGGGAGGTCTAAGTCCCAAAAGTTAGACTACGGAGTTAACCTTGGGCCGCTCATGGCCTTTACCGCTAGGGGAAGTGGCCCTCTCTATTCAGTGACCGCGGAGAGCATGATCTTGGTCAACAGAAGAATGTCTGCAAACTTTTCGGAGCCTAGCACTATAGTTCACCTCCACAACGCCCATTTAGTAGTAAGTTCTCCCCTAAAGGCTCTCCAAGACCTTTGAGAGTGTCTCTTGATATTATTCGTCACCCTGAACATGTATGTAAGGTCATTGATCAGTGAAGTGAAAATTGCCAAAAGTTGGGATTAGGCCTGACAGACCTTAGTCAGCGAGGGAACTTCTTTGCAGCGGCGGGGAAATTCAATCTCAAGAACCGTGCTGTTCAGTCATCATACTTGGGATTCCGGAATGTTTGGGCACTTATACTGGTGAACTTACCCACGATATAAATCAGCGTAGATATCCAGTGAACAATCTCCAGGTCTGTGTGAGGGCCGAAAAGATTAACTGTCTTCCAAGGCCGGCTCACTTCTCAACCACTCGTGCTCGAAGACTGCTCCAAGTAACTCTTGATCCTCCGGATATGGTCGGAACTGCTAGGGAGTCCTGGCATAATAAATCTGATGCCTTCCCTGGAGATATCAAGATAGGCAAGTGCAAACCCAAGGAACAAAGGCAGACTGAGAGGCGATTCAAGTACTTTCCGTCGGCCAACCCACATTTGACGATCGAACGGTCTGGTGTTGAGAAAGTTTTCATAGACTTTGTCCCGGATCGAAGAATCCTTCACTAGTCCTCGATCAAGCGGATTCGTGGATGTAGTAGGCTTTAGTTCTGCTACCTTATCTATAAAAAACTAGTTGGAGCCAGCACTTTAGAGGCTGGCAGCACATTATTGA